ATCTTTAGTTCCACGCTTGTTCACCTGAAACAAGGAATAACACTGTTTAGTTTGGTTAAATAAAAAATATCAAATCAATTCAAATTTTAATCCCCAAGAAGCTCATTGCATTTTGTTTTACTTTCCATTAAATTGGAGATGATTCGATCTCAACGCCGACTGTCGAGAAAAAAAATTTCACAACCCGAAAATTTGCCCAAAATCAGAACAATTGCCGACCATTTTGACTTTCATCAACCTTCTACTGAATTGTAAATGTTCGGTCTTTCTATAAAACCGCAAAAAAAAAAAAAATAATAATACGAATTTAAATTCATTCACAAATTAGCGAGAAAATAACGATGTCGTACTTCGTTTTTTAACCACGAACTTTTCCTGATTTCTTCGTAGGAAATGGACAAACCGAACGCCGCTTATGTCAATGGAGTGATGACGTCAGCTCATAAACAGTTCGTAGTTCGTACTTCCTGCGGAACCTCACCATCAGCCCGACTGGGGCAGAAAGGTAGGACGTTCAAACCCATTTCATTTATTTTAGTCCCAAATAACCACGCTATTCGCCACCCCCATCCATTGGTGAAAACTGCACTCATTCCAAATAATGCAGATTGATGGACGAATGTAATGTCAATGGAGTGATGACGTCAGCTCATAAACAGTTCGTAGTTCGTACTTCCTGCGGAACCTCACTATCAGCCCGACTGGGGCAGAAAGGTAGGACGTTCAACCCCATTTCATTTATTTTAGTCCCAAATAACCACGCTATTCGCCACCCCCATCCGTTGGTGAAAACTGCACTCATTCCAAATAATGCAGATTGATGGACGAATGTAATGATACAACAAAGGGATATGTTATCTATTTGCCCGGAAAGTGCCATTTTTCGACTACCCTTAATCAATGGTATTTGGGTGGTCTCGGGATTTCCTAGAAAATAGACGCGTTTACTTTACCCCCCCCCCCTCCTCCCTCCCCTGGGAGTCTCGTGGCTAGGGAGTCTCAATCTGTTTCGACACGTGACGTCACATCACGCGGCGTCCATCATTGGCTCAATAGCGCGTGCATTGTTTACATAAGACGTTACTGATTCGGACTAAATGGTGAGTTTTACTTATTTTAATACCCATTTACACTAAATATGAAATGATTTTTACCTACAAATAATTCAAACGTCTTTATTTGTTATTCTAATAAATGAAAAAAAAAATGTTTTCGAATTTAATTTGACGGAAGAAAAGAGTTAATATTTGGGACTAATTAAGTCGCATCGATGTCATCCTTATCAGTGATTGTAGAGGCCTAGCGAAAATTCACTGCTGATCAGTGTAAGTGAGTCTGTGTTACAATTACATATTAGCCAGAGACAAATGAATTTAATCGTCTAGAAGTGTTTGGGGGATTTATTTTTCACATCGCAGTGGTATCACGTTCATTTAATTATTTTTATTTAAACTAGCATTATAAAGTCATGCAAAAAATGAACTAGGGTTTACTGTCTGGTGTACCGGGTTAATAAAGTGTACTATATATGGCCTACCATTTTTTTCGAATTCTAACAATCAAGGGTTAGTTTTACGTGACCGTCAATGCTCGGGTTTTCGTACCACGAGAACGACTAGACGATGTTCCGGACCAGGGTCCCTTTTCTGTAGGGGTGGTTTAAACAATAATTTATTTGAAAACAAGGCGCAGCTTATATAAATCCATCTCCTTGTAATTTATACTTTTCATACACGTACTAATAAGCACATATTTAAAGGGCCATTCTGTAAGGTTAGATCAAGAGTTGACTGTTCTCGCTATAATAGTTAACACGTAGATAATGAAACGGGAATAAGTTGAAAATTCTGAACCGAGTTATCGTCGTTACAGGAACAGTTTTGCCTCGATCGTCATTGCTACCGTTGTTACGATATCCCTTTTTAAAATAAATCATCAACCGCAAATCGTATTTTAATATGTTGAAGATCTAAAGTATCTTGGTAAGTTAACTAACATTTAAGGCATAAAGAAAGACCTGCAATAGGCCGATTTAGCTCTTACATAATGCCCGTTTAACAAAATAAATAAATAAAATCATCACTATCATTATTACCAAGTACATGTGTCTTTCATCTTTAATCTCTCACGGACTATATAGCACTGACAGTAAATATATAAAGTACCATAAAAACTTAAACCTTATTTACTGATATCTTATTTATTCAAAGCTTTTAGTAAGTTTGAAATGAATTTGTTGTACGAACTACTTTCGTTTGGATCATCATAAGGAAATGAATAAATCCGTTACAAGTTTCATTTTGAGTACTAGACCAAAACTACATTGAGAATATTTGGAAGGGATGCATTTTTTACAAGTAAAGGCAATTGGATATGCTGATGTTTTATTGCTCACTCCGCGGACGATCATCGAATCTATCTTGACATTGGAAGATTTAAATCATTTTTAGATTTTCCGTGGCTCAGTGAGTTAGACGCTAATCAGGAGGTCTCTGTTTCGATCCAGATGTTGGCCGAGAAAGCTGGGACAAAAACCGTAATCACGTGCATGTATTGGTTGGCGTGCACGTAAAATAAAAATTGAAAGCTAGAATTCGAAATAAGTGTTCGCCATACTGTCGCCGTCCGGGCCAATTATATTTCGTCATATCACTTCCGGTCATAAATGAGAGTGTAGCACGTGCCGCAGATTATCATTGTAGCGTTTACACTTGAACGAAGAAGACGTGGTCTTCTATTTGCCGCACTAAGTCTTTTCTCAGTTGTTCAAGGCTTTATACTAAGTCATTTATTTGTTTTTTGTCTGCCGCATTGATTTTCTTTCTTGAAAGAAATAAATATTTTTTCTTTTACGACTATCGTAAACTTGCACGAGTCGCGGACTCGTTTGTGGCAAGATGGCGGACGACAAACAGAAAAAGAACTTGAGAAGCTCGTCGGTTGGTAAAGTTGATTTGGGATGGGAAGATTTAAACCCAGCCTTATTAGAGGATAGTACCGATGTTTATACGGGATTTTTCTACCCAAAAATTTAAGGAGAAATGTGATAAAACTCCGGTAATGGCGAGTCAGCTGACGAAGTCAAAAATCGCCTCGACTTTAGCTTCACCTTTACCGTCAACTTCTGGTTCTAAACTGCACGCTGGTCAGAGAAGCAGTAAAAAATCTTCAAGAGATTTATCGACTCATTCGACCGGCAATACTGAAATAATAAAAATTCTGAAAGACATTCAGGAAAAACAAGGAGAACAAGCCGCCAGACTTGTTACCTTAGAAAATCAATCATATTATGATGAAGAAGAATATGATGAGCAATATGAACTTGAAACTGACGAGGAATCTTATATTGATCCTAGCCAAAACCATCCTGGCCATAAACGGAAATTAGGTCCGTCACCCTCAAAGGATGATTATGGTGGTGATACCGAGAATAGGTTTTCATTAATGTCAAAACGTTTCAAACCGTCTGACTCTGTCGTTGACAAAAATGTTGATGTAGTACTGGCTAATAATGTAAATGAACTTTTCAAAAATGGTATGAGTGAGGACCAGTACAATGCTCTAACTAAGGATGAAGTTACAGCCCGTCCGAAAAATTGTGATGGTTTGGTACTGGTAAAAACAAACCAATTAGTATGGGACATTATGACACCAGAATCGAGGAGTTCTGATCGGAAAATGCAGGCCATTGAAAGTTCGGTTATCAAGTCTGCCATCATATTGAGTAAAGCAGTAGATTCTCTTGCAGATCTAGCCGATACTTCTAACTTGCCGAGTACAGCCATACCAGATATTATAGATAAACTGAACGACAGTTTAGCCCTTTTGGGTCACTCAAACCGTCAAATCAACCTTACTAGAAGGGACTTCATAAAGGCTGATCTACGCCCAGAATTTTCGCACTTGTGTGCACAGTCACAGCCTTTCACCACTTTTTTATTTGGAGATGATGTGCCTAAGTTAGCCAAAGAAATAGCCGACTGCAGTCGCATTGGCCAGAAATTACAGAACTATCCCCAAAGAAGTTCATTTTCAAGAGGTAGACCCTGGAGAGGTAGATCTAGAGGGCGATATGGAAGAGGCAGAGGTCGTGCCATGTATCCACAAGCACAAGCTAATGTCAAGTACTCTACAAAAAACTACAGGCGGGGCAGTATGCCCCAGAATCTGAGAAGCAAAAGTCAATAGACTCAACTAATAAGGTGAGTTTCTCGGCAGGGCGCTTGAAATATTTTTCCTCGGCATGGAAGGAAATAACTTCTGACCCTCATGTTCTAGATATAGTAAAACACTGTCACATTGAATTTATAGATGGGATCTCTCCAAATCAACATAACTTTAAATTTGAACCTAAATTTAACACTCGAGAGAGTGAAGCTATTGAATCAGAAATTTCTAATATGGTCAAAACTAAGGTTCTTATTGAGGTAACCCCTCAGTCAAATCAATTTCTTTCGCCAATTTTTGTAAGGCCTAAGAAAGATGGAGAGTTTCGCATGATTTTGAACTTAAAGAAACTCAATGAGTTTGTACCTTATCGCCATTTTAAAATGGATACATTCGAATCTACCCTTAACTTGGTCTCAAAAGATTGTTTTATGAGCACGATTGACATCCGACACGCATACTATTCTGTCAGTATAGCTGTGGAAGATCAGAGATATTTTCGTTTCCTATGGGGGGGGGGGGAAATATTTCAGTATACATGCCTGCCAAATGGTTATTCTCTGGCGCCCCTACTATTTACTAAGCTTATGAAACCAGTTTATTCGTCGCTTAGAAACGCAGGCATTCTGTGCTCAGGATATATTGACGATAGTCTTTTGTTAGCAGAATCTGAAAATGAATGTAACCACAGTGTACAGACCACTGTTAATTTGGTAGAAAAGTTAGGTTTTATGGTTCATCCAAACAAGAGTGTTTTTCAACCATCAAAACAAGTTACGTTTCTAGGTAATGTGATTGATTCTAGTAGTATGACTGTTTTTCTTCCAGAGAACAAGAAAGCTTACATTGCAGATGAGTGTTTAAGAATTTCAAAGAAAGTTAAAGTTACTATTCGTGATTTGGCTCATGTTATTGGTCTTATCATATCAAGTTTTTCGGCCGTAGAATACGGGCCATTATTTTATCGAATTTTGGAGTCGAGTAAGGTACAGGCTCTAAGGGAAAAGCAAGGTAACTTTGATAATTTTGTTCTTATCACACATGATATGCAGTCTGAACTTGCTTGGTGGTATACAAATATACATAGTCAGATACGCCATATCTCGCATGGAAATCCAAATATCACAATAACAACAGACTCTTCCCTCCAAGGATGGGGAGCTGTTTTGGAATCTGTTGCTAAAACAGGGGGACAATGGACATGTTCAGAGAAACAGAATCATATCAATTATCTAGAAATGTTGGCTGTTTTATTTGCCCTAAAATCGTTTAAAACTCATTTGCAGCCGTTTATGCATGTGAAGATCTTGTGTGATAACACAACAGCAGTCAGCTATATCAACAATATGGGTGGCATGAAGTCTGCATCTTGTAACTTGGCAGCTAGGAAAATATGGTTTTGGTGTATAGACCATAATTTGTGGATTTCTGCCTCTCATATTGCAGGAAAATCAAACACTGATGCTGATCTCTGCTCAAGGGTTTTCAATGACCGCACTGAATGGAAATTGAAGCCATCAATATTTCAATCTATATGTCAAAAATTTGGCACTCCAACAATTGATCTCTTTGCTTCAAGGCTCAATAAACAAGTGTCTTGTTTTGCATCTTGGAGTCCAGACCCAGAATCTTTATTCGTGGATTCATTTACAGTTGATTGGAATCAATTTGAGTGTGTATATATTTTTCCTCCTTTCAGCCTATTGGGACGCTGTATCAAGAAGATACGAGAGGACAAAGCTACAGGCATAGTTATTGCCCCTCTATGGCCAACCCAAGTTTGGTTTGTCCATCTAATGGAACTACTTATTCATCCACCTCTACTGATTCCGAAAATGAAAGACTTGCTGACATTGACACACAAACAGAATCAGAGCCATCCTCTTCGACGAAAGTTGGTATTGATCGCTTGCCATGTCTCCGGAAATCATATAAAGAACAAGGTCTTTCTGAACAGTCTACAAGAATTCTCCTGGCTTCCTGGAAAACTGGGACTAAAAAACAATATTCCGTGTTCATTAAGAGATGGATACAATACTGTGGTAAAAAGAAGATTAGTATCATTCAATCATCTATAGCAGATGTTACAAGTTTTCTCACAGAACTTTTTGAAACTGGGTTAAGTTATAGCTCCCTAAACACAGCAAGGTCCGCATTATCAGCGATGGGAATCATTATTCAAGGACATTCTGTTGGAACTCATCCAGTTATATCAAAATTTATGAGGGGTGTGTTTAATTTGAGACCCTCGAAACCGCGACATATGGTGACATGGGATGTAGGTAAAGTTTTGCTTTACTTGAAGAAGCTTTCGCCAGTGAAGGACTTGAGTTTGAAAGACTTAACTCTGAAACTTACAATGCTAATTGCACTGACAAATGTGTTACGAGTACATGCTATTCATCTTTTATCTATAAAGAATATGGTTAAAACTAAATGTGAATTTTCTTTTGAACTCAGTGGTTTACAAAAACAGAGCAGACCATGTGCTAGTGTTAAATGTGTGTCAATGAAAGCTTACCCTCCAGATAGGAGGTTGTGTGTATATACTGCCATGAAAGAATATTTACAAAGAACAGTAGATATTCGTAAAAACGAGTTTTCATTATTTTTGAGCTTTATTAAACCCCATAAAAAAGTGTCCCGGGACACAGTGTCTAGATGGATTAAAACTGTGATGGAACGTTCTGATATAGACACCAATGTTTATGGTTCACATACAGTGAGGTCAGCCGTATGTTCTAAGGCTCATAAAAACTCTGTTCCTATTCAGGATATTCTGCATGCTGGTGGCTGGAGCAATGCAGGAACTTTTTTCAAATTTTATAAGAAGGATATAATATCTACTGCAAATTCTAGATTTGTGGATACAGTACTCAAAGAATAAACTAAAATTGCCAATCTTATTGTTTCTTTGTTACTATATGTATGTAATATGCCAAATATAAAGATTTCACCAGCTTTGAAGTCTCATTTATGACCGGAAGTGATATGACGAAATATAATTTGAAAAATTGACGAGACTTACCTTGGTACAGTTGAAGTCAATTTTAAATTATGTGAGTCATAGGACTCACTGTAGGGATTAAATGCCTCCCGCCCATCCCTACAATTTTGCCAGCTTGTGTAAGCTGTGCACATACAAGTTTATTTCATGATAAAATGGAATCCGAATCTACTAAAAAAAAAAAAAAAAAAAAAAAAAAAAAAAAAAATTTGTTCAATCTTATATATTTTTGTTACTTTAAAGACTGACAATCTGCGGCACGTGCTACACTCTCATTTAATCCCTACAGTGAGTCCTATGACTCACATAATTTAAAATTGACTTCAACTGTACCAAGGTAAGTCTCGTCAATTTTTCAAATTTTCTCTCATAACACACTGTATGGCGCCGTGCGCGCTGTATTATTGAAATAAAATTGAACCATGTGATAGTCCCGAAATGACCTAGTTTGTGTCGAGTTGATGTTAAACCTCATTTCTCTATCTCGCTCTGTATGGCGCAAGTCCGTCTACATTAAGGGCCGGTCACACAGGCTTCCGCGAGTTGATCACGAGTGTATCGCGAGGAAGAACTGTCAAACGCGAAGTAAGCGCGGTCACAAGTGAATGACACGTGAATGAAACGTGGTGGACTCGCGAATAACAAGTGCGCACACGCGCGAAAAATTTTACACGCGCACGGAGTCCGATTTTATTTTTGAGCAGCACAAAAATTAGGCGCAACGGCCACCGCGTGTCGCACACGTGGTGTAAACGCTGTACAAACGCGGGCCAAACGCGATAACACGTGGTACACTCGCGGATCACAAGTGGACGACAAGTGGTCACTCGCGGGCAAACGCAAAATTTCTTCGTGTGACTGCGTGTGTAGCACTTGTCATCCACTTGTGATCCGCGTGTCTACAGCGTTCCTACCACCTGTGATAGCGTGTGCTCCACGTGTAAAAGGCTTCCTCAGGGATTGTGTCACGAGTCATCCGCGGGCCATTCGCGTGTTTTCGCGTTGAATCGCGATTGAACCACGACTGATTCGCGTGTCGTCCACGACCCAATCTCGTTTGTACCACTAGTTATTTCTGCTATAAAAAGATCGCGTGTGGGCCATTTTTCATCAGTTGTGATCAAGACGTTGAAGAGGCAACATGGATCCGGCGCATCGTAATGCTTTGGTTATGCTGTTCCAGCAACATCAGAACCAGCTACTTCAGGTTCAGCAAGCCCTGGATGTCAGAAGAAGAGTGAGGAGAAGACAAAGAAGAGTCAGAGCCATATGGGTGCGCCAATGGATCAACCGCAGGCCACAGCTGGGGCTGTATGACAGGCTGATGGTGGAGCTGAGGAACGAGGACCCCCGTGCCTTCAAGAACTTTATGAGAATGCCTCCGGTGATGTATGATGAACTGGTGGAAAGGCTGACACCAACACTGACGAAGGAGACAACCAATTGGCGAGCTCCCTTGGACCCAGGCTTAAAGGTGGCCATCACCTTGAGGCACCTTGCATCAGGCTCGAAATACAGGGAGATGCAGTATGGCTGGCGTGTCCCACACAACACCATAAGCCTCATTGTTCGTGAAGTTTGTGAGGCAATCGTGCATGTATATCGTGAGGAGATGCTGTCACCTCCAGAAACCCCCGAACAGTGGCAACAAATTACAGACGATTGGCTGAACAGGTGGAATTTCCCTCACGTGATTGGAGCTATAGACGGCAAACACATAGCATGCCCATCTTCTTGGACTGCCTGTTCTTGCTGCCCTGGGGGGGCTCGGGGGTGCTGCTCTCCACCTCCTCGGTAGCAGTTTCAGGCTCCGAGACTTTTGCCTTCGGCCTGGGCCTTGCTTGCCTCTTCATCTTCTTGGGCGTGGAGTTGCCCTTCTTTGATTTCGGTGCCATGATTTTGATCTTTACTCTACGGAATATTGATCGATACTGATCCAGAACACCGGACGCGGCGGCTTTTATACACGCGGGCGGCAAGCGGAGCACAAGTGATCGGCACGTGATTCACACGCGGAGCACATGTGGAGCACAAGTGATACACACGCGCTGCGTGTGACCCCATTTTCTGACCACAAGCGCTCACACACGGAGGACTCGTGGTGGACACGCGATGCACACGCGCGCGTGTGGTCCACTTGTCATTCGCGTGTCCAGCATGTCTGAGACAAATTGGTTGATTTTCACCGCGTGTAGAAAAAATTTGCAAAATTTATAGCAAAATTACACGTGATCAACTCGCGGAAGCCTGTGTGACCGGCCCATTAGCCAAGTCGGTGCAGACAAGTAGGACGTAAAACACCATTTAATTCTTCACCACTCTAATATTTATTCAACATTTGCAGTACTGAAGAAACAAATATTATTAAAAAAGAAAAAAAGATGAGTTTGTGCAGAACTGGAATACAAAAAGATCAGAAAGTAGTAAATGTTTTAATTATAGAAGATTTAACAAGAGCTTAACCTGCTTATTGTGGGTCTTTCTTTAGGCCTGAAATGTTATCTAAATTATTAATTAGACATTAATTAACTTATCCACACCATAATCAACTCTCGATGCCGCCGTTAGCCTGCGATATTTAGTGGATTTTAAAATATTTTGTGATGAATAATTTAACATAAAAATGAATAATCGAGACTTTGTCTATTATCGTACCGACGGTAGTAATGATGATCGAGGCTATATCCTTAGATTGAATCGCTAATATCTCGGTTCAGAGTAAAGCAATTTGACTGAAATTGTCAGCATATTACGTTACGTTATCTATTTTGTAAACTATTATAGCTAAAACTGTCAGCTCTTTATCTCTTCTCCCATAATGCCCTTTTAAGAAACAATTTGAATTCGCAGTTCGCAGACTATATGTTAAATCTACCCCCAAAATATCGCAAGTGTCTTTCAAAATTGCGATGTGGAAATTATAGATTGCCTATTGAGACATGATCATATACCATATACCACGACAGGAAAGACAATGTCATCTATGTAGCTTGAATATAGGAGACGAATTTTATTATTTCTAAAGAGATATTAAGTTCAATTTCCATCCACACGTAAAATTAATGAATTATTGCATGTTAAGGGTAACGGTAACGAATTATTAAAATTATGTAAATTCATTGAAAATATATTATCATTTTTCTCGCTTCAAAAAAAAATATAAATACGTAATAAAAGGTATAAATATCATGTTAAGGTACTATTAATTAATGTCAAATTTAAATCGTTGGTATTTTGATGTGTAAAGAAATGCGTAAATATGAACGGAAATTTAAAATGAAATTTGATGAATTCTTGTAACCTGAAGATTATTATTATTATGGATATCTCTACTCAACAGCAGGAGAATTATGTTTCTATCGATTATCACTAAATGTAAGGTCTCGTGGTCCTTTAAATTACATATTTCTTTCTCAAAGTCTCGCATCGCATAAGTAGCAGACGCGAGAACGAATATGAGGCCTATTCGATTCCGTTTCCTTTGGGTAAAGACATAAGGTCTTTTTAATAGTATTCTCTCAACGTTTTCAAGCAAGTTAATACATGCTTCTAAAGGATTATATATTTTATAATATTTCATAATTACAATAGTTTATCAGAAGATGCGTACCTTAAAACGTCGAGAGAATACGCAAATAAAGTATTAATTTTTCTTTCGTAAAAATGTGTTATAGTTTATTATTATAAATGAAGATAGTGGAACTGAAGTAATTGAGATCTCCTGCGAAATGAAATCACAAAATGATATGTTTTATGCTTGATCTGTGATTTTCAAATACATTTTTTATTTCGAAATAGATTGATTATCAAAGTTTGGTTTATTATATGGGCTTTATGGTAGGGTGCAGCTAATCGCAAGTAAAATAGTATAAACAAAGCGGCGGTCTTCAAACTTGTTGTTTAATACCATACAGACAACACTGTGGCTTCTTAGGGGATCACAAAATTGTGGACATCAAAGATTAAGTGTCACCAGCAACTAATTATCCCCTGTTTATTAAAAAACACACAGATTAATGAGAAAATAGCACTCTATCAATGTGCACGCTATCAATTCCTAGTCTGCGGGTGTTAATCGATTAATTAATGAATACTATTCTATAAATACCCAAGCTGTCGAGACTGGTCCCAGCGAGTTTTGACAAGCCTTACGTTTACTTGGCTCGTGGATTAACCAATCATAGAAGTTACAGCAGATTAACGTGGATCATCCGTTAATCCTTGTGACACTTTGAGGTAATCACCTGTTTTGTATAAATTAGCAGGAAATCAGTTTCATATCAGAACGATCTCAAGACCATAGAGCCTACGGTAACCACAAATAAAACCTAAGTTCCAACAACAAGGCGTAGCTTTAACTAAGAAATCTTCACGATGGACAGCGTCAAGGATTTCAATCATCGACAGATTCTTCTGAGCAAGATGAAATGCGCTGAGTTCGGATTTAAGAGAGCAAAAGAGCAAGTCGAACTGCTGGATCGTAAGATTCGAGATACGGAAATCAGATACTACAGAGCTGTGGAGGCCGAACGAAAATCGTTCCGTTACGTCTTACGACAACGATTACTAGTTATGGAAAGGGTGCGACAATATTACGAAGAATTTGCCACAAGAAAAGCCGATGAAATTCGATTCGTATGGCGCCAACTATTTGGAAGAATAACGGATGAAATTTTTGAGGAAAATCGAGAAATGGACGAACATGGAGATTCTAATTCAGACTCGGAGATGTCAGGAGTTGAAGAGTTGCTTTGAATTTACCATCTATTAATTTTTAAAAGGCCCTTTTCAGGGCCACCCAAATCTGGATAGATATACTTTCATATTCTATAAAATAGCTACGATCCATTTGTTGGCTACACGGGCTCACACCAGCTAGGGCACATTCAGTACTCTTAGCTTAAACCCCGGGACGTCATGGTGTTGAGTTAATTCTAAAATATTACTTAAATTATTAAAACTTCTACATAATGTACAGTATACAGCGTGACATGGAGGATAGCGAGTCAATATCCTAGTCACCGTGGCACCAGACGCCCTCGGGGTTACCGTGGAAAGTGTGCGTATAAGAGGTTGGTGTTGTACGAAAAACGTGGATCATACGTGTACACATCGACATGCATGTACAAGAACCACTGGTAGTTGGAATTCGAAGAAGAGCAGGAACAGACAACGCTCTAAACGCAAACCTTTCCA